CCAAACTCGCAAAACCACGTATCTTCATTGCAGAGTTTCAAAATTTCTGATATTGTTTTGTTTTTTCGAGGAAAAAGAGGCCAACTTTAACGCTTGAAGTTTATACAGAATATTCCGCTAACAGAGGAAAACCAAATGAAGTTTTCAAGAAATTAAGATTACTAATTTTCCAAAGAAAGAATTAAGTATGACAGGAGGTCTGCAACGTCGCAGACGGAGATACGTTGTTTCGCACTTATGCTACTGAGTTGCTTTCATTCTCGTTAATTCCGTCAGGAATTAAAAGACCCTAATTTTTGGCTGCTTTATTTTACTTGTGCACTTCGTTTTAATAAATTCAAGAAGCTGAGGTGGTCATTCAAATATTCACGCACGACCAGCACAATGCACAATTTATTGTCAAGTGAAAATTTGCATAGTTTCTGACTCTCACTGATTCATTTCTTGACTACTATGTTTTAAAAATACCGAGCGCTTAGTGTTCAATAAAGATCAGACTTTTTATTCCAGAGCTTTGGTTAGTAAAATCGAATGTTTAAAACTATTATTGAAGAGTGATATGTTTGAACCGTGTATTTCAGGTTTATTGTATGATTTACATAGTATATAAAAACAATCCGGAATGTTCAAATTTGCAAACAATTTACTCTCAAGTATTGCAAGTAACTAACAGTGGGACGAAGTGACAAATTTTTAGTTCTTTTTCAGCTGACGTAGCGTTTTTCCACGTTTAATTTGATACCATAACAATTTTTGTGCGATCCCTGGTAAGAATTGGCAGTAGAATGTGTGTTCCAAAATACTATAGACCTAAAGCCGGCTGTAACATTTCCAATAGCGTCTGTCGATTAAGCAACAGCCAGACGATAAAGTTTATGCTAAACGTTACTAATTACGGATACTAGGACTTAGTTAGTTTTTGGACTACCGCTCTCTTTTTGTGCCGTAGTATCTTGATTTATTTTGCGAGGAAAGCTCCATACTTTTGAAGGATATTTGTCATTCTTGACATGTTGGAGCGCCTTCAATTTCTTATGATACTGTGCAATACCTCTGGTGTGAAATAGTTGCTTAATACGCCGTGGCACGCTGCGACGAGGCGAGGCGGGCGGGCAGAGAGCGCGAAACGCGCATTAGCGCCTACAAACGTAACAGGGATACTTCCCGCATTGCGCAATGCGTGAAGTATCCCTGTTAGGTTTGCAGGCGCCAGTGATCGCCGCTCCGCTTTGTGTTAGACTCTAATATTTAATCTCGCGGAGTCAGCGTTTTTCAACTTATGATTTTGAAATGTTTGCTCACTCTGTATGGACTATTCTCATTTTAATTGATGAAAAAAAATATGTTTTAAAGGAGAATATAATGTGTGTTTTGTAAATATTAAGGTAGTTCCGTATCAAACTTAATGATTTCCAAAGCACACGAATTTCTACACAATTTCTTATAGCCTCTTATAGCCAATGGCGATAAAGTGTAAAGCCCGGCGATAGGAACTATAGCCCGACTGTATACTTTTTTATAGCTTCGTATAGCCCGGCCGTATGATTTTCTCCGCTTTCTACAGTCAGCTATATGATTTTCAATAGCCATCTTTAGTCGGCTATAAGAACTCCGATGGTATTTTGAATCGCAACTCCTACCGCCAATTTTTACCAGGGATGACAAATAGATCCTGTGCGCAACGTAGGGTAGGAATAAATTAGCCAACTTATTTATTTTCTTCCTTGAGTGAATTATTATTCACAACATCAGTGGCTCGTAAGAAGTCCTCCGCTCCAGTTAGTGTTGAATTAGTTCGGGCTTTGGGGCAAAATCTAGTTTGCATTCTCCGCGCACAAAACCTCTCTCATAAGCTGAAGATAAACGCATTAACGGAGCATACGCTTGATAAACATGCACACTGCTTTCGTATTAAACGATCCATTTCAGTAAGATCGGATCCAAGACATTGACCAAGAAACTGTTAACAGCTTTTAGACCTCACCTAATGAGAAATCTAAAAACATCTGCACTAGATCATGACCATTCTATGGCAGTGTTGTCAGTTCATGTGATCATGAGTAGGATTGTTACGTTGTAAAAGAGGGGGGGGGGATTTTATAAAAGGGGCAAACAGGCTGGGCTATACGATAGACAAAAAAACCTCTGGGACGGCAGAAGGGGCTACATCTCCCCCTCACGCCTCTCCTTGTGGGCCATGACCCTGTGTTTCCACTGATTATTTTACTATTTTGAATAGAAAACCTAATCCTAGAAAAAATGGTATTTTCCTCGAGATGATTACCCTCAAAGAAAAAATAATCTTATAAAATCAAATAGCTCATTTCCTCCGACTAGAGATAATAAGCTAATTTGAGCTGACAAACTAATAGCAATAACTTATTGAATCTATAGAGCTATTAATGATTCATAAAAGTTCGTTAGTTTAGCACAGATTTCAATACATTTTAAGTGTATTATTGAAGTAGCTACTTCGAAGCATTCACTACGGATGTAGAGACTAGATAAAATGTTTATCAAAAAAAATTATAGTTCAAAAGTTGTGACATTTCCCGTTACACTTGCTCAAAGTCTTAGACTTTTTCCACTTTTTTCTCAGTTGTTATTTCGTCAAACTTTAGGTTATCAATCCGAATGCCCCTACAGAAATTAGATCTTAGTATCGCATTTTTACTTATACTCCTTTCTCTTAAATATTGTCAATGCTTCGGTTGAAATGACGAGGAACTCAAATTATTCAATAAATTTTTAATATTAATAGAATGTATAACCTAAACTAGTCCTGTGAAACTAGTCCTGACTGTCCTATGAAAGGTTGGCGACAAAGGGTGGAGGAGGAGATTAGAAGGTGCCAATTGCCTGATGATCTCTGGGAGGATAGGGGGAAGTCGAACCTTTAAGCAACGGGGAATAACAAAACAGTTATCAACTTCTAATAACCGCATCAGATTGAAAACTGTATATGAGTCAAATTCAAAGCTGCTACAATCTCTATATTCATAGATCCAAAATCACTGATGACCCAAAACTTTACATGTTAAGATAGGATTTTTTATTTCATCCATTAAATATAAAATTCGGATAGAGGGAAAAGCTAGAAAAACTAAAATTACCAGAGGTAAAATTGTTCAAAAGGACTCCATAGTTTGATTATCTAAATCATAACATTTGATTAAAAATTGGCGATTGGGCGTCGTAGAGCGCGAGGCGGCGCTGTGAAAGCGACTTAATGTATGTATAACCTAAACTAAAACTTTCATGTAAGGATACATTTCTAAACCTGCCTATGGTAGTCCACTTCTGTTAAGACTGTTTGGCATACAACAGCGTATCTATCAAGAGCGAAGATAGAGCAGTCACGAGAAGGGATATTGCCCCTCAGAGGGCCCTTTGCCCCCCCCCCCCCGTAATTTTTTTTAGCTGCATTAATGATGTGTACCACGATGACCCGGTCAATTTCCAGAGACTTGACAACCTTCGGGCCGTGCTGCTCGCAGAGCTAATACCCCTGGGCGCCGGGCGCTCCCTATTTATGCAACACGTTTTACATAAAACGTGGAAATTAGTTCCGATTGCTTCTTCAGTTACTGCGAGAATGACGACTGCTGTGGGTGTGTAAACACGGGGCCTGTTGCCAAGTCACAAGAAGAAAATTTCCGAAAAACTCCTTTCGCAAAATAAGTTAATTTTCTCTTTTTCAAAATTACCAACTATAGTCTAAATGCTGGTCTAACCTTTTCCACCGTGACAATTTTTAAATAATTGTCCCTGACGTCATACATTTTATGACGTCAGGTCATTTGCATTCATCAAAAACTTAACGTACCGTATTTCAGCGATATGTGACTCGGAAAAAGAAGATTATGTTTATGAGTTCATATCCCATTTATGAGGCGCTTCATAAACTCCAGAGTGAAATATACACCGAGTTTCACTGTAAGATTATCAACGGTGCGAAATGATTACTTAAAAGTGTTAAAACGTTTTAAATATTTGATTTTTAAGACTACTAAACGACATAGCTGTACATAAGAAAAACTATGGAAATGCATGAGGAAACTAGGATTGGAAAATAAAATGTTTTCCATTAAATTAGTAGACCGAAGTAATGCGCAAGAGGGCGGCGCTGGTCGGCATCCAAATGAAATGACTTTAAAAAGAAAAAAAATATGTTTACTTTAATTTAATACTTATGAGCTAACATCATAGAGTACATAGAGTCGTAATGTAGATGGGAGAGCTGGCGGCGCTATGTTCTGCTCGACGAGTTCCGAGCCCGGTGTGCGCCGAGTTCGGGTCACTTTTTCGATACATGTTAATTTGATCCAAAATGACGGTGTGGAATACGTGGTGATTCCTATCTTCCTTGTTTACATTGGAAGGCCTGGTATTCGTGTATCGCAAGCAATCGATTATGTATCGAAAAAGTGACCCAGCGTCACACAGGAGTCTCGAAATTCGGGACCTGGAAAATGCTCAAAAGAGGCGCCAGTTCACCCACTTACATTACGACTCTATGTACTCTATGGCTAACATGTATATTTTTTATCTATACACCTATGCATAAACATAGATGCTTATATTTAAAAAAAAAAAAATCTTCCAACCGAACCTATTTCCTTTTTTTTTTGCACCTTATTCTGTCCATAAATAAAACCCACCTCAACTGAGCATACCCGAAATCCGAGCGAAAGAGTGGTCGGGAGCCAATGACTTCCATCACCGATGCGTAGGGCGCCCGATCGAGGCATCTTCATTCTATCTATCTATGTAGAATATCTCCATGATTGCAGGATCCCCCGCGCCCCCCTGGGGGGCAGGGGGGCGCTCGGTCGCGGGTATTGTTCGCTGCCGGGCGCGTGCGGGCGGCGCGTCGTGGCTGCGGTAGGCGAACCAGTTTTCAAGAACAGAACGTAGGAGGATGGTGAAGCGCGGAGGAGGCGAAGTCCCCGGGGGCGGGGGGCAGGGGGGCCGGCTGGCTGGTTGTGCAGAAATGCCAGGAGCCCGGCAAACAGTTTCAGTCAGCGCAACCATTCAGACGTGTGTGAAAACCGCGGATTCCGCGGCCGACGCGCCGATGTTAACAAGTTAAACGTGCCTTAATTTATTTTAATTTATTGTGAAAGATTTTATTTATTTATCCCGATTCCGCCGCGGTGTAGTTGTTTTTATATTTTTAACTATACAAATTGAAAGTGATTATCGAAAGTGAAGGATGTACTATTGTTGACAGTGTTTGTTTACGTTACGCACTGTGGTCAACCGGTTGCGAAGTTTGACTTTAGAAAAACGGACTTTTTGTAAGTACATCAGCATTTGACGTTGTTATAATGGGGCCGCATGGGTCATAAAGGACTTAACTTATCGCTTTTTCTTCTACTTAGTGCTAATGAAATAGAAGAAAATCCCCGAAGGAACAGTGATATAGCAATTCTTGGCTGAAGAGCAGTTTTTCGCATGGGTTAAGAAAGTCTCTTTTTAACTGTGACCTGAAATGTCGCGTGTAATTTAATTTACCAAGTAGTAGATAAAGCGCAAAAACATAGCCCGAATATGCGGGTAAAGAAGGAGATTTAGTTAAAATATGGGTAAATGAGTCTAAAAAATTATTGATTCACTAAAAGGCAGGACGTTTCGAGCTGTTACCAGCTGCAAAAACACATAAAAACAAGTAAAAAATTGCGTGGCGTTATACGTGATAACGGCTGGGGCCAGGTCGCCACTCAATTTTTCACTTTTTTTATGTGTTTTTGCAGCTGAAAATGAGCTGGTAACAGCTCGAAACGTCCTGCCTTTTAGTGTTTCAATATTTTTTTAGCCTTGTTTACCCATATTTTAATTACATCTCCTTCTTTACCAAGTAGTAGATGTGCGTAAAGTTTCACGATGTTGAGAGGTCTGTAATATTAGCGTAGCTAGGACTCCTTTAAGAGGGGGGGGGGGGGTCAGTTAAAAAACGTGACGTTAAATTTACATTATTTTGTACGTCCCTGATAATATTTTATGACTGCCCTCCAAAAGAGAAAAAAAAGGTACAATTAAAGAGGCTAAGAGGGGAGGGGTCCAGACCCCTTGGATCTTCTCTCCTCCCCCCTTGTCTACGCTACTGGTCTGTAAATCCCTGTTTTTCTGACAAAAATGCATGTGTCTTCTCTTCTCAAAAATGACTAATTTTATGCATTATGAATATTTTGCAATATTTTTTTCCGGATCTGTAATTTTTGAAATATTGTTGAAACGTCACGGTTTTTCACAGCAAAATCATAGGGATGAGTTCGTTTCCGAGGTTACTATAATAGTTAAACTAGACATTTCATCTGAAGGAAAATCGAGGGCCACATGTGGCGAACCGGAGGGATTGCTCGGTAAAATCTCTAAAAAGAACACCTACTTAAAATACAATCCAAAGATTGTGACATTGTGAAAATCATAAAAAAATATCGTTCAAAATCCTTATTTTACTCTCCGGCGAACACATTAACCAAATAAAATCAATAGATGAAACACCTGTAGATGTTAACCAGGCAAACTCGATTGGGAATAGACGTAACCAGTGAATGCCAATTGCGTGGGCCAAAATGGAATCGATTAAAGACACCTTTTTACGCTCTGATCCACATACCTTACAGTCTGAATCATTAAAAGGGTCTAAGGAGTATATCCGCTGGGCATTTTGCACCAAATATCACTAAACTTTCTTTGCAAAGTTCGGATCCTCTATTGAAGGCCATAAATTTTCGCTGATGAAAAAATTGCCAAAATTGACTATGCTTTAAGGCAGGTGGGTGTTTATGCGCAATTACCGGACAACCGTAAAATAACATAAATTCAGGTGTTTCGTGTTGTTCCCATCAATCGTGTCATCACGCATTTCACCGCACCCGGTTCACACCATTGTCATTTATAGACTCTAATTTTGAATTGATTGATCTGAATACGCTCAAATACTCTAGAAATGTTATTCTTGTCCTTAAAATGACTTCCTCTTGCTATATTGACTTTGAAGCCCTTTTTGCTCTAATATGGAAATCAAAAAACACAAGTTTGTCCATTATGTTTACATTTCCGGTGTCACTGATCGTGAGTCGTACATCTTCCCAGTCTTGCTCCACAATTTCCCAAACATATTCACTTCCCTAAACCCTATTTGGGAAGCTTGGATGACAAGGCGCGTAAGTGCAGTATTTGAAAAAAATTGAGATATCAACGATTTCAAGTTATACTAGTCTTAATGCATATTCTGTGAAAACTTCGCTCCAAAATTCCAATTTTTAAGTACCAAAAAGTCAGTTTGAACTTTCTCGCCATCATAAGGATCCATGTAATTTCAAAACTTCAAACACGTATTTCTCGAAGAAGCAAAAGCTGTACTCATGCGCCTTGTCCTTCGAGCCCCTCATTTCATCATGCAATACCCCAGACTCCGTTTATTTAATGAAGTTCATGGTACATAAAAGCTACTCACTAAAGTGCCTCTTTAGGGTGATGAGAAGCCTCATAAATGTTGTTTACCCAACTCTAGGCGAGAATTCACTCCCCTTCGTCCAGACCCCTCTATTATAGTTAATGCCTCTAATTTGAAAAGCAGAGTCACCGACATCGTATCAAATCCCAAGAACTCGAAGAAAGGATTTAATTTCTCATTCGCCATTCTCCGCGAATGTGACACCTGCCTGACAAGGAAAGGTGTGCAAAAAAAAGGTGGCGGTGATTCAAGAGGCCGCACGCGTTCGTTGAATTTTTTTAGGGTTATCGGTGGTCATATGGCTTCGAGTGGTGTCAAATTTTTCGTTGACATGTTCCGGAGTTCAGCCCTACGGATGGTTTGAACGCGTTTGCGGGGAGGGTGTCACGTGATGACTATTCGCGGAGATGTAACCGTGTAGCAAAGGCGAATATTGCAAGGTGGCAACGCCAGCGTTTCTCCATTTGAGTGTATGTAAAACAATCGATTTAAGGTGAGGTAGCTAAAATCGATGTTTATAGGGCATTTAAATGACTGTATAACACTGTTGCCGGTTCGTATGAAACACGATAACCGCGTTGGAAACTCCGAGGACTTTGAAGTATCGAACATGGGTAAAAAGGAGAATGACATTTCCGCGCAATTTTCTTTTTTTCCGTTGCTGCCTATTTTTCTGCATTTTTTCCGAACGATTCTAAAAAAAATCGCGACTTGCATCAGAGACTATTTGGCATTGCAGTAGAAAATGAAACAGACCGAACGGAGAAGTTCAATGGAAAAATTGAAATTTCGTTGCTAATCTTGGTTTCACAAGAAAAATGAAAATAAAATGCACCCAATGATACAAGGCCTACTTTCCTATCATTTCCCGCTAAAACTACAATTTCACACTCTTGAGTGCGTCGTTGCAAATAATGTGCTCTTTTTTTTAAAAAAAAATTTCAAAACATATGCAGAGCTCAGAGAAACAGAAATGTGTAAGGGGATATGAACTTTAGAATAGTGGAGCTAGATTTTAACTGATTAATCGACCTTAGCTGAAACTGCCTGCTCCGTCCACAATTTTTTACTTAAAAAAGGATCAATGTAAATGGGGACACGGCACTGTAAGCCTCTGCTAGCGAGAGTCAGTTCAAGTCAATTTTGGCCCATTGTACTCTCAAAATTACCAAAAACTGACGTCGTCCATGCCCTGAACCATGTTTCGAAGTCCATACATACATACATTTCCCATACATTTCGTCCATTCTATGAAACTTTTGATTGCAGAGTGGCAGTTGAATAAGCTCATTAACGTGCAGCAGAGGAAGAGGAAAGTAGAAAGACGAGGCAGTGCAGCGGGTATCCAACCCTAATGAATTATAACTGGAAACAGCTTCATCTAATTTGACTTTTCAATGAATATCCATTTTTTGATTATTGAAAACATTGTCTAGAAGGGCATACTCAATTTGACTAGCAAGTAAAATCAGCTTAAAATTAAGCGTTTGACCAATTGCTCCTTTTCAAATAATACCTTTAAACGGCCCTGATCAAACTTTCCTTCACCCTGCACCGAAGAGGTGCCCCACGAATTCGTATTTGGAAGGCATTGCAATCATTCCCGTTTAGGCAACTGGAATGACTGTTGTGTGACCTTTGCCCAAACGCGAGTGATGTTGCACAAATGTTCGTCGAAAGTTTTTTCTGTGACTTCCAAGAATATCCTCTGAAAATTTCGTATAAAAAATCCAGCAATATCCCCTTGAAAGAATAGGACATGGTATTTTGAAACATCGCAATCGAGACGCACGTCTTTGTAGTTCATCCGACATTATGTTTCAACGCTTCGACAGTAAGTCTGCACTGAAAAAAAAACACATTGGATGTAGAGTCCAGACTCTTGAAAACATTGACAAGAAAAAATACTCTTGATTCAATCAAATCAATCTTGTTTTAAGCTTAAATCAAAAGGAAATCCGCTCAAATTAAGAGGTTTGATTCTTGATTTAAACTTAAATCTGATTGAATCAAGAGTCAATTTTCTTGTTAATGTTTTCAAGAGTCTGGACTCTAGATCCAATGTGTTTTTTTTTCCAGTGTTGATGTAGCTAAGTCTGACAGTGTGGATGTAGCTAAGTCTGACAGTGAAACTGTGACGTCACTAATAAAAAGAGCCCAACTGGAGCAAAGCAAGCAATGCCCTGACCGGCGGACAACGTGAGAACATGAGCGTTTTTCTGCAGCATTATGGAAGAACGTCGTATAAGCCATCTGGCGTTGCAAAATTTCCTTCGCCAAATCACGAATGTTCAGAAAAATTTGTGTATACTTTTTCTTCACTTTTTTAGAGGATTTCGTTCGTAATTTGATCTCAAAAGTCTGAAAATTCTAAAGAAAAACGTCCATAACTTTCTTCAAAAATAAATATTTTCCAAGAGGAAAATTGGCAACACCCGACTGCTGACGACGTTTTTACTTAGCACGGCGTTTTTCGCCTTTTTAATCGGAGCGTTGCACAACTTGATTGAGCGTGAACTCATATTTTCGACTTTAAGTTGCGTCGGTCGGCGTCGGTCGGCGATACTTGTTCGGGACTTGTGCACAAATAAGGAGAGTGACCAGCCGCAACCTATAAATCGAGTAGGCGGCGGCGCGGCGCTCGTCGACGTTTCAAATATAGCGCGTCTGAGTGTTGTTATTGAATCGTATCCTTGCATCACTGATGAGTCCTCTGTATTTCCGGTCCGGGGTTCCGCCCTCCCCCCCTCCCGCCCCCGCTCCCTCTCCTACTTAGGCGTAAACTGCTGAAAATGGACGAATCACGGACATTTTTATTTGAATTTATAAAAAAAA